AGTATCTGAAAATAACCTTACTTTATTCAGATAAGTAGTTGGAAAAGGAAGAAATAGTTTAATAGTCTTTTCAGATAATTTAGATACTTTTCTTTACATTACTGTAGTAATCTCCCTCATCCATGGGGGATGCCTTCCAGGTAGATCCCTGAAGCTACAAGGTGGTACAGAATCCTATATGTACTATGTTTTTCCTATGCACACCTACCTATAATAGCATTCCATTTATAATTAAGCACAGTAAGATCTTAACAACATGTAAAACAGGGACAGTTATTGTATGGAATAGAAGTTATATGAATATGGTCAGTGTTTCATAATATCTTACTGCACTGTATTCACTCTTTTTGTGATGATGTTAAACGATGCAGTACCTATGTGATGAGACAAAATGAGATCTTTAAGTACTGGGAAACTATCAAGCTCTGAGTATCTGACAGAAGTCTCCCAAAATTTAATTTTCTTTAATTTGAAAACTTTTTGTTATTGAGAATGAATTACTTTTTGGAGAATAGGGTCTCAGTGTATAGTTCAGGCTAGCCTTGAACTTATATGGCCTTGGACTCAGCAACTTTCCTGCTTTCATTCAGCTCCAACAATGAATTTTAATAGTTATATCCCTTGACCCAACAGGCTTACTTTATTCATTAAAAACTTTTAACAAATGCCAAAGTCTGAGTATCCATCTTATCACTCCAATAAAATTGGTGTTGGATGACAATCAGTGATTAGTTGGGCTTACAGTGTAGTGTTTGCTTAGAACAAATGGCTAATTCATATTTCCAATCTATTAGATAAGTGCTTTTCCTTAAGACAATCATATCTGAGGACACAGGACAGACTTCTGCATGTGTTTCCCATTTTGTTAAATAGAATATTAAAAAGATCAAGGGTCAAGGTTTGATAAAAGAAATAAATATTACTGGCTCATCTAAGACTTCCTTAATTAACACTGGCTTTTATTTTAACTTTTAAACGTCTGCAAGTGGGTAGTATTGAATAGTACAGTGATTGTTACTGCCTTTTGTTGCCCCCTCTTTTTTTTTGTACCGGGAATTAAACTCAGAACCTCACACATGCCAGGCGGGCACTGTGCCACTGAGCTATATCCCTGGCTCCTTGTTACCTGCTTTGATTTATTTTAAGATGCTAGCAGTTTGACTGACCATTGCTTTTGTTTCTTTCTTCACAAATGCCAACGCATCATTCTAGGATAAATGATGAGATTTTACTAAGTTAGGGTATACTCTGAATCTTTCAACACCACTTATGTTTGCGTTAAGCATTAATAACCAAGATATTTGATAATTAGCTGGTGCTGATACCAGGGAAATACGTCAACGGAGTTTGTACAGTCTGTAGATTTAGGCAAAAGTGTAATTCTGCAGACAGGATCCGTTTACAGTGAATTCTTTAATTAATTTTATTTATTTTTGTGAAACTGAGGATTGAACCCAGGGCTGTCACACTGAGCTACATTCCCAGCCCTTTTTTTATTCTTTATTTTCGGGCAGGGTCTCGCGAAGGTCTCAGTAAGCTGGCGAATTGCCACCCTAACCTCTTAGGATCCTTTCACTTCAGCCTCCCAGAGTGCTGGGGTTACAAATGTGAGCCACTCTGCCTGGGTGAATCTGTGTTTCTGGGTGAGCCACTCTGCCTGGGTGAATCTGTGTTTCTGGGTGAGCCACTCTGCCTGGGTGAAAAATGGTAGTGCTGAGATTTCTTTTGCTGACTTTCCATCTAGAAGATTTTCAGTAAAATAAGCTATGAGGCTTTATTGGATTCTCATATATGGTGTTCACATCTTCAGCCAATGTAGTAGAATAATTCACCTTGTAAAATACTGTCATTTTCATTTCAAAATGAAAGGTGTTATAATTTTTCAGTTTTCAAGAATTCATTAGTTATATTTTAAAAATTCCATCTTTTTTAGAACTCTGAATTACTGGTTTCAAAATGGTGTTACAGCTTAACTGGGATCATAAAACTATTCCAAATGTTCTATTGTATAAAGCACAATAAAGTAAATTATTAACATCTATAATGCTAAGGAAAGATAAGAGGAAGATAGCATTGCCATATATTTTTTTCTTTTCAACACTTTCTTCTAGGCATTTCAGAATAGATTTCTCCTTTCTTTGAACTGCTGAACCCTGTGATATGTCATTTGTCTTTTCCTGTGTTTTGAGATATAAAGAGTGCATTTGAGCCCGAAGGAAACAAGTCTTCCAGTCTCCCCTTTTATATCTGCCTATAGTGCTGGGATTGATCTCAGGGCCTTGCTTTGAGCTACATTCTTCTCCAAGCTATTTTTAAAAACAATAACTTAAATAATTTTGAGATAGTCTTGGTAAGTTGCCTAGGCTAGCCCCAAATTTACATTCTTTCTGCCTCAGTCTTCAGTAGCTGGGATTATATGCACCAGCCACCATGATGATCTCTAATCTTCTCTTTTAAAGTGAAAGATCTAGTGTCAGATAATTTTAGTCTCTCTTCACCTTTGGTGACTTTACACAAACTGTTGATTTTTGGAACCTGGAAGTGGCTTTGAGTGTTGTGACTCAAGGTCTCTTATGAGGCAACAGCCCAGATGTTGGCCAGGGCTGAATCATTTGAAGACTGGATAGGGGACTGGTGGATGTGCTCTCAAAGTAGCTCATTCACAAGACTGGCAGGCTGGTGCTGGCCATTGACCTCTGCTGAGTTGTCTCTATAGTGTCCTCATAATCTGATGGCTTCCCACAGTGATTGTAGATTGTATTTGATTAAAACAATGGCAGTATCATGTCATTCAACCTAACAGACCAAGATTTTACATTTCAGCATTTAAATTGAGCGAAGTATATTTAAATAGAAGTGTTAACAAATACCTGTTCCTCTGTATGTGCTTTATGAAGGATTGGCTCCCACAATTATGATGGCCAGGAAGTCCTGTCATCGGCAGTGTGCAGACTGGAGAACCAGAATAGCCAGGGTTATAATTTTAGTTCAAACCTGAAAATCAGGGAAGCGGATGGCACAAGCCTAGTTGGAGTATGAAAGCTGATGTCTGATGGTTGGAGACCAGTAACTTAGCTCCAAAGGAGCATCTCTGCCTGTTTCTTTCCTTCCAGCCCTGAAGGCACTAATGTCTCCTTCATTGATGAGATCTGTTTTACTCAGTCTAGGCTCAGATGCTAATCTCTTCCACAAACAACCTCACCTGCACATCACAAAACCATGTTCTGCTCGCACCCTGAGGATCCTGCAGTCTCGTCAAGCTGACACAGGAAAGTAAGCATTATACTGACATCTCATTTGGAGCACCGTAAAGTAATTTTGGTTTCTGAAGAATTGCAATTAATGGAGCCTTGTTTGTTGTTTCCTATTTATGTTACTAAATTGGGCAGAGAGAGAAGCAGCAAGACGTTTCAGGGTGATACATTTATGAGAATCCAGGAAATACTTACTTTGGAACTAATTTATCCCTGATCCATATACCTGTTACTAACTCCAAGGCCATGGTGTCCTCTGCTTTCTGGGATTCAGACATTCTCCTTTTGCTCTGAAGCTGGCGCTCTGTTCACCGCAGCGCCTGGGCTTCGGACCCTTTCCACTTGCCAGCCAGGCCCGACTGTGGCCCTGCTCTAGCAGGGCTGCCCAGTGCTGCTTTCCTTCACTCACTTTTCCCTTTGCCACTCAGGTCAGGTCAGTTTTCTCCTGGTCTACTGCAGTGGTTCTTACAGTTTCCAGGCCCCTCATTCCTACTTTCTCTAAACTGCTTCCAGATTAACCTTGCGCTTCAAATTCTCTCATGGTCTCTGAATGTTTATGAAGTAAAATTCCAGTGCTCTAGCACCCTAGAGGCACCAAGTTACCCTTTACAATTAATGTCATCATCTCTTACCTTTTTTGCTCATATGTGCCCTCTGCCAATAAAGCTGGAGACTCCAAAGCCTGTCTCAAAGAGCACCTCCTTTAGCAAGACTTTCCTCTTGACCTCTCTTCTGTACCAGGCATGTGAGACCTCTGTCAGCCACTCCCTGAACTTGTATTCCTCGTAATAATTAATCATCATTGGCTTCTCAATATAGTGTGTGCTTACATTATCATTCCTACCAGTTATAATGTATTTGAAAGGACAGACTTAATCATTTATGTTTTTGACCTAAAAGTAGATTTTTTTTTTCTAGTTGGACTTGACTAGTTGCATAAAGTCATTGGAAAAAAGTATTCAACACGAAATGCCAACAGTCATGTGTTACCACAATGTAAAGTTATACAGAATTTCAAAATTTTACATATATATGGGGATGTTTCTCATTTTGCTAAGATGGCTTTATTCTACTATTGAAGGGTTCAAAAATGTGGGCACTGTTTTTTAATTTTTTTTCCTGGAGCTATCAAACAGAGAATATTGGTTGTGACTCAGATGATAATTCGATGCTTCACCATCTCTGAATTTGGCCCCTTTCCTAAAAACACGCTGGCAAATGCTCAGCTTTTCCTCTGTGGGGGGAGCTGCTCCGAGGCTCCGGATGGACACTAGAGTCAGGCAAGGGGAGCTCGCCAGGCCCCAGGCCGAGCGTCCCCCGGCCTCCCACCGTCTGGGCAAGGCCGGGCCAGGCGGGCAGGGCAGGACGAGGCCGACCCGACCCGTTCCCACGGCGACTTCCCGGGGCCTAGGCCGGCCGGGGTCCTCGCGGCAAGAGCGGCCCGACCCGGCCCGGCCAGGCCTGCGTCTCTCGGCAGGGCCTGGGCGGGAAGCGAGGCGCTCTCGGCCGGCCGGGGTTTCCAGGTGAAGGGCTGGAAAACAACCGGCCGGGCGGGCGGGCGGGCGGAGACGAGCGGGCGGGGCGAGGGCGGAGGGTGCATTGCTTCATCCTGGACATTTTACGGGAAACGGGCGCATCCGGGGGAGTGGCCGAGAGGCGGCCCGGGCCCCGCCAATGGCTCGGCGGGACGTGGGGGCGGTTTGGGGCGCGGCCTCGGGTTAAATAGTCGGGCGTCCCCGGGTCGCGCCCGAGCCCGAGCCGCGCCGCGTCACGTCACGTCCTGCAGGCCTCGCAGGTCCCGCAAGTCCCGCAGGTCGGCGCCCGCCACAGCCGCAAAGGACGCAGCCGCGCCGCGAGCCGGCGACGCAGCGTCGGGCCCGAGCGCCGCGCCCAGGAGCATGATCGTGGACCGGCTGCTGGACGACGGCCGCGGCGGAGAGGGGCTGCTGGACGGGACTGGGGACGGTGGCCTCATGACCAGCCCGCTCAACCTCGCCTACTTTTACGGCGCCTCGCCGCCCGTCGCCGCCGCCCCGGGCGCCTGCGACTCCGGCTGCGCGTCCTCGGGGCCCTCGGCGCCCGGCTCGCCCGGCTCCGACTCCTCCGACTTCTCTTCCGCCTCTTCCGCGTCCTCCTGCGGGGCCGTGGAGTCCCGGCCCAGAGGCGGCGCCCGTGCCGAGCGTCCCCCAGGTAGCCCAGGCCCACTGGGTCTGCGCAGGGTGGGCAGGGCCTGGCGGGAGCCCCGCGCCGGCCGGGGGAGGGCAGGCGGCCCTGGGCCTGGCGCTGTGCGGGCGCGGGAGGTCCGCTGGGGCCGCGGGCCTCGCACCTGGGCGGGGAACCGCGGCCTTCGGTGGCGATCGCTTGCTCTGCCTTTCTGACTAAAGCGGGAGAATAAAGCACTGTGATGAGTCCTGGGCTCAATGTAGGCGGAATTTTCTTCTTGTGGCTCTTTTAGTGAAAAGCTGTGGCGGAAAGGATAAAGCTTTAAGAGTTGTGTTTAACTCCAGGATTAATTTATTGTAAAGTATTCATGAAGATCTTAAGTAAAAGAACTTTACAGAAAAAAACTGCTCTTTAAGGGTACAAAAGAGAAGCTGGTCGGAGAAACAACCTGTTGTTATGCTTGCAGTGTGGGATGGTGGAGAGTTTCTCAATTATGCCCAGATAAATTTGCAGTCTCGATTTTATTGTGTTAGCACGGCTGAACTGTATCTGGGAAAGAAAGGTATAATGGTTTCTTTTTTCAGTCGCGAGTTGGTAAATTTTTTAATGAACCGAGTTGCATAATTACGGCGAAAACCGGATGCCGCTCTGGGTAGACGTAAGGCCTAATCTCAAGTGTTGGCAGTCTCCTTGGCATAGTTCTTACAGATGATCTCTTCCGATGTTCCCCAGTGCTAACCACTTGGGTTTTGGTTGTCTTTCATTTTAAAAGTTATTTTAAATAAATTTATAAATTTTAAAATCATCTAAAAAGTGATCTTAACAGTACATTGTGTTAGGAATATAGTGAATCTCGAAAGTGTGTGTATGTGAATTGAAGAGTTTTTGTGAGATCCTTTAGGGTCTTTGGACTTTATCTGGCAGAAATTTTGGTAGATCTTAGTTTACTATACATACGTATGAGGGGTTTTCTGAAACTGCATTTTTGTTTTTCGCTGTGAATTTATTTTCAACTGCTGTCATTCCAGAGCACTACCGTGTTTGAGCCTCAAAATTCAGATAATTCTAGACATCCCTAAACTTAAAGCTAAGAGCTACAAATCATTTCTCTCCCCTCATCACAGAGCTGTTTATCTCATGAGTTCGTAATGCAGATGTTCAAATTATGCACTGTTTCTTGTCTCATGTTTAATTTTTTCCGCTTTTGGTACAGTGGCAAAATTACTCATTGCTTGACATTTTTGAATCTCGGCGTTCAACACATCCCAAGGGATTGTGACATAGTCATAGTCACAACAGTAGAGTGTACTTGTGTACTGAATTGAGAAGTGTGTTAACTTTAAATGTGAAACAGACATACTTCCTTTTTTACTTACAGGGCTTTTAGAAGCAATTCTAGAAACAGTGAATGAGGGGAAATCCTTTGTATATATGTAGGAATATGTTTAAAATTAGTGACTTTAAGTAGCACAGTAAAATTGAGTAAAATACTGAGAATATGTGTAAGATACTGTTATCTGTTATGCTTTGGTACATTGAGATCTTTGGAGGACGCTGTTTTGTGTTTTCTTAGATGAGTGGGATTAATGAACTTTAAATTAGCGTAAAATGAATCACATTTTTCCTTCTCCCTTTTTTCAGAGTCAAGAATAATTATAAATGAGTAATTTATAAATGTATAAGATTCTGATTGACAAAATCTTTGATCCTGTGTTACGGGGTGGATAGGTATGAAAGACTTAGGCAGTTAGTTTGGGTTTATCTGTTGGCCTGGGGAATCTGACCAGAATGAGCTTTAATTCCTGAGGGTGCCTGGTGGGAAAGGCTCTCAGGCGATTGAATAGAGCTGAGTATTATCACAGCCGGTTAACTAGAGTAAGTGGTAAAGGCTGTGCAGTCTGTTGCTTAGGGACTGTAAACATTTGGCAGCTTTGGGAGTTAGGAAGCATTGTGTTGTGGAGAGATGTGATTGGCATATGTTTTGTCTTCTCTTAAACAGTTGAGCCCTATATGGGGGTTGGCAGGCAACAGAGAGGACCCTTTCAAGGTGTTCGAGTGAAGAATTCGGTGAAGGAACTCTTGCTGCACATCCGAAGTCACAAACAGAAGGCTTCTGGCCAAGCTGTGGATGATTTTAAGGTGGTACTTTTATTTAGTTTTGTTTTTGAGTTGGGTTTGGGGGAGATAAGTCTGTCAGGTCCAATAAGTTTCTTGCAGTTCTTCATAGAAGACAATGTGCCTGAGAGAGACTGTATTTGTTTTGCTCTCTGTGTGTTCTGGTCACTTAGCCCAGTGCCAGGAATCTGGAAGGTGTGCAGAAAATACAATGAATGAGTGAGAGAAAACAGTTTAGGGGCAAGGAAATAATTAGGGCTCAATTAAAATGGAATATTTTAACTTGAAAGGGATAGAGCAAATGGGTCTTACTAATTTCATCTTGACCTAGTTGAACTGAGGTGAAAATAAAAATGGAGGTGTTGAAAGGTACTAAGTGAAATGGAAAACAGATATTGGTAGAATAACTAAATCAGAGATTTACAGTGTGCTATAAAGGGTAGTGGAATAAATATCGATGTATTTTAAGTAGAAAAGCATTTTATGTACACTAAATGGAAATTTTTTTTCTTTTAGACCCAAAGTGTGAACACTGAGCAGTTCACAGGTAAGAGTCACTTCTATTCAAAATTTTATTGGCATTTTAGAGTAAAATAATTTAGTGTTATTGATACAATTTGTACAGTAAAATGATCTTAGATTTCATATCCCTTTCTTGCATGCAGAACTGAAGAACACAGTATCATACAGTAGGAAAAGAAAAGGCCTCGATTTTCAGTCTGATGGATCAACTTGCAAAAGGCCAGCCCCATTACATACCCAGTTTTTGGTGAGTATCTCACTATTTCCTTCTGAATACCCTTCAGATATCATTCCTGGAATAATCTTAGTATTTTAAAATTTTATTTATATTTTGGTGCTAGAGATTGAACCAGTAGAGCATGTGCTCTACCACTGAGCTACACATCCATAGTCCTTAGAATAATCTTAGAAGGAAGTCAATATTCAAATTGTATTTTATTTCTTTTCAGACCCCACCTCAAACACCGACACCTGGAGAGAGCATGGAAGATGTTCATCACAATGAAACTAAACCAGACAGCAGTGGTGATCTGCTCCAGAACATTATAAACATTAAGAATGAAAGTAGCTCAGTTTCCCTGAACACAGTCCAAGTTAGCTGGATGAACTCTGTGGTACCTCAGAGCTCCCCCAGAGAGCAGTGTCAGGACTTCCATGAAGGACAGGTCTTCTCTTCACCTCAGAAGTGTCAAGGATTCCAAGTCAGCAGCTCTCCACAAGTGATGGACCATGCTTCCATGTACCAGTATTCTCCGGAGAGCCAGAATGTAGAGCAGCAGCAGCCGCAGTACACCCACAATGCGTCTCTGGAATACAGTCCGTACTTTAGAGCTTCCCAGTCCCCCAACTATGAATCAAATCTCTTTGATAGACGAGAACCACAGTTCTGCCCAAACCAAAGTTTTACATCTCTCTTAAGTGGTCATGGGGAATCCGAGAATGTCGCTGTTCCCATTCAGACTTCCCCCAGTGTCCAGCACCACAGTGACGCTCTTCTGCAGAACTTCAGCATGATGCCTAACAGTGCCTGTGAGGCTGTGGGGGCGCAGGATACAGGCTCTATCTCTGTAAATGCCTCGCTGCCATTCCCGAGCATCATCGGAAGTCCGATGAACACCTCTCAGTTAGGGAAGTCATTTTTTCAGTGGCAAGTAGAGCAAGAAGAAAGCAAGTTGGCAAATATTTCCCAGGACCAGTTTCTTTCAAAAGATGCAGATGGTGACACGTGAGTATCAGGTGTTAATTTAGTAAGACACACATGTTGAGCCTAGTGGGCATTGAAGTTGTCTGGAGTCTGCCAAGTTAAATCTTAGTGTTTGGCTAAACAAGCTGACTAGTGTAGGTAGAAATGCTATTCAGTACTAGTTAATATTTCAAGGAAAGGTGTTCCTTTTGTTTTTTTGACTAAAAATATTACTTGTTTTTAAGTTACAGAAAATATGTATGTCTTTGAAAACTTGCTTTCAGAGGATAGTGTTTATAGAGCAGAAACAACTAGATCATGACTAAGCTTAAATTGTACATTGATTTGTAGACTGAATCCTAATCTGTCTTTATGACCTTGCACAAGTTAATGAAAATCTTTATGTCTGTATTTTTTTATGTGTAAATGATACCTCCCAAGTGGGATTTTTATGGGTATTAAACAATAATAAAGTGAACACCATGGTGTTTGGCATTTTTTTTTCTCTTAGCCTAACTTTTCCAGTTCACATATATTATCAGTGCAGCAGAAAAGACAAACTAGCTCTGTGGTTTCATTTGAGTACACCGATATATATCAAAAAGGACTGCAGAAGAATTTTTTTAAAAGACAAACTTTGTGAAGCCAAGTAATTCACTTTTTTTCCTTTCCTTGTTCCCCAGGTTTCTCCATATTGCTGTTGCCCAAGGGAGAAGAGCACTTTCTTATGTTCTTGCAAGAAAGATGAATGCGCTTCACATGCTGGATATTAAAGAGCACAATGGGCAGGTGAGGCTGAGATGGCAAAGGTGTGGTAATGGTGAAGTGAGTAACGCCCAGTGTCATGTGTAGACTGTCAGTGCTAAAGATCAAGAGAGACTTGGTTAATATTAACTTTGAGATACTGACTTTTTGCTACCATTGACCTTGAAGTTATTATTGTTAACTTTGCATTATTTGAGCAAAGACCATGTATAATTAGTCACTTTCTTTGCTTATTTTAGGTTCCTTGTGTTACAGTATTGGATTGCTTATTAGTAGGGTTTATTTCCTCTGGGGAGTTTAGTTTCATATTGTTTGTTATGGCTATGTTATATGTTTAAGAAATTGTTTTTCTTTGAATATCCACAGAGTGCCTTTCAGGTTGCAGTGGCTGCCAATCAGCATCTCATTGTGCAGGATCTGGTGAACCTCGGGGCCCAGGTGAACACCACAGACTACTGGGGACGAACACCTCTGCATGTCTGTGCTGAGAAGGGCCACTCCCAGGTACTTCAGGTAAGAGCCCGTGAACCAGGCTTCCAATATCCAGGGCCCAAGGGACAGGACTTGGCTGTTACTAGTTGCGTGTATCTTGCATGTTGCAATAATGTGATTTGAGTTGATGTATTCATTTCTTGGGATACTAGGAGATAAGTATCTGTGTACTTTGTCTTTAGCTGATGGTTGTCTGTTCTAAACATCTGCAGGCGATTCAGAAGGGAGCAGTGAGGAGCAATCAGTTTGTGGATCTTGAGGCAACTAACTATGATGGTATGCAACTACCTTAATTGGATATGCAGCATGTGGAAAGTGAAGCCTGTATAATTTTACAGCATTAAGTATCATATTAAAAGGGAAGAGGGGGACTTAAAGCTATTGTGTTCTATATGTAAAAACCCTAACAGAAGGTGTATTTAGATTACCTTACTAATTTTCGTGGAGCCCATTTATAGGTAAAGTGAGAGACCATCATCCTCAAGATTTGTTCTTGTAGAATGAGCAGAAGACTGGAGTGACGATTCCTTTATTATTCTCCTAGGCTTGACTCCTCTCCATTGTGCAGTCCTGGCCCACAATGCTGTGGTGCATGAACTCCAGAGAAACCAACAGCCTCACTTACCTGAAGTTCAGGAGCTTTTACTGAAGAATAAGAGTCTGGTTGACACCATTAAGTGTCTGATTCAAATGGGAGCATTAGTAGAAGCAAAGGTAAATTTACAGAAAAGGTTGGAGATGGGGGATAGATTATAGTAAACTCATAAGTACAGATAAAAACCTTTTTTCTCTTGTTTTTAATTGAATAGTGAATAGCAGTGTCCAAGTAGTCAAAAAGTATAAATTTTAAAAGACCCCTTAATCTGCTCTCTTGATTTGCTTCTAATTTATAAATTATTATCCAACACAATCATTTAGCTGTGAATAAATTAGTCTTTCTTTGAAAGGAAAAGAAAATGCTCAAACTGATGTCATTTTGCTGTGATTTTCACATGCTGACAGATACTGCTTTTTGTAAAGATTCTTGTTTACATAATTTGGACTTAATCTGCTTTTTGAACTGGAAAATATTTTATTCCTTTGAAATTTGGGGCTTATTTACTGAGTATCTCCTATGACCCAAAGCAGAATATTAGTGGGGCTGCCTACATCATAAACCATTTGGACCTTTGGGGAATTTCCTGTCTAATAGACAAAGAGAGAGCTATAGTTTATTATAGCTCTACATAGTGGCCACCAACTGTGAAAACACAGGGCAGTCATAATAAATGGCTTATTGATATCATATTCAATAAGAAAGTATTATTTTAGGTCTTTACATTTTATGGCCACCATGTGTACAAAAGTCACCTGTGATAAGTAAGAGCCAAGAAAAAAAATGAATAGGGAATTCAAGAGGAATAAGATTCTATTTAGTTTAGGCTTCGGGAAGGCTTTGTGGAGAAGGAAGTTGAGAGACAGAGTGAGAAGTATGTTCTAAGCCATGGAATCTGAATTGGCATTTTATATCTTTTCTAATTTTGACAAGGATCGAAAAAGTGGCCGCACAGCCCTGCATTTGGCAGCGGAAGAAGCGAACCTGGAACTCATCCGCCTCTTTTTGGAGCTTCCCAGTTGCCTGTCTTTTGTGAATGCAAAGGTATTTTTAGAAAGTTTTACTAGCTGCAGCCTGGGAATGATCTTCATTGTCCCTTTGAGCTTGAGTTCTTTTCATGAAAGTCTTCCTTCCTGACATGCACTGTTTAATTTCTTTGTCTTTAGGCTTACAATGGAAACACTGCGCTCCATGTTGCTGCCAGCCTGCAGTACCGGGTTACACAGTTGGATGCCGTCCGCCTGTTGATGAGGAAGGGCGCAGACCCAAGTACCCGGAACTTGGAGAATGAGCAGCCTGTGCATTTGGTGCCTGATGGCCCCGTAGGAGAACAGGTGAGGGTCACAGCTTGGAGAGGAAGCACCACAGTCAGTGTCTGACTCTCACAGTGGTTGTTTAGTTAGTTTGTGGAAGGCTTTGTTTCCAAGGCTTTGTTTCCATGTAAAAAAATTGGGGCTTTATCCATGGACCCACGTAGTCTTTTTTTTTTTTTTCTTTTCTTTTTTTCCTCTTCATGGGACAAACTTGGTTTCAGGTTAGAGTAGAGTCAGAATGGTTTAAGGTTTGGAAGCTGATGAAAGAGAAGGTACTAAGTGAGGTTCCTGCAGATACTGCAGAAAGAATCTTAGTTTTGTAAGCTGTGAAGCTTCAGATCTTATGGATATGAATGAGATGATATCTAGAGAATGTTCACAAAATTTCTAGGTACATTGTAAATGTTCAGTGAACATCAGCTGTTAAAATTATCTCTGTGTACTGTACAAAGTAATACTGTACAAGAAATGCAAGGGCTATAAATGTAATTTGGAACTTAGAAGTAGTTTTGTTTTGTTTTGAGATAGGATCTCACTATGGAGTGTAGGCTGGCCTTGAATTTCCTTATGTGGCTCAGGCTGGTCTCAAATTGATGGCAGTCCTCCTGCCTCATCCTCCCGAAGGCTGGGATTATAGGCATGTGTCACCATGCCTGACTAGAAGTGTTTTATACCTTAAACAAAATTATGCTTTACTAATCAATTATAGTTGTGTGTTGTCCTTGAGAATTGAATAGCTTAATGTGAACTTTCTAGATAATAAGAAGTTAAGCTTTAAGAAGTTAAAATTTTTTGACAGAGATCTTTTCCTGGGGTGAGGGGAAATCAGAATGTCTGTGAGTTTGATCATTAAATTATCATTATACATGGAATGCAGCTTAGCCTTTTCTTTGAGTTCTACCTATCATTATGACCATAATGTTATAGCAATTCCTACTTGCAAAGCTCTCTACAACTTAAATTTCTTGATAGTTTACCATTGAATAGTTTGTAGGAAATTGTCAGAAAACTGATACGGAGGTTCCAAGACAGAAGTCTTCATTAACTAGTAGATGGCAGTTGTAGGCCTAGTGTTTGCTTTTGCTTTGGTGTTTGTGGTGGTAGCAATAAAACTGTGCTCCCAGGCATTACTGAGGTGCGGAAACCCATTTATCTCTGCAGTGATATTGTTGTGTTACTCTTTTTGCTCTTGTGTGTGTTGGGGGGCAGAGAATCTTTTCCCTTGTCTTTATTATCAGCCTATATTTACTGGATGTGCTTCTTTTTAGCAGCTATCAGTTGTATCCTTTACCCCAGTCCTCTTTAGAGGACAATTTAGAAAAATTGTCTGTGTTAGTTAGTCTGTTGTAGTCTGAGAGAAAGAGAACAAAATTGTCAGACTTGGCCATACGTTCTTATTACTTTCTTACATAAATGTTCTTACAAATGACAATGGATTAGGAAAGGAATATAGCCCTTAGTTATTTAAGTAAGTAATTGGAGATTTTCAACTTCATATGACTTTGATTGAAAAATTTTACTGTCTTTCACTCAACGATCATTATTAGAGACCTGAAATTAACTTTTAAATGGAATTGTGATATTTTAAAAAGTCTTTTAAATCTTAATGGATATCATGCATATTTTTCATGTTTACAAATTAGGGAGGAGTGGTATAGAGTATAGCATTTGGCAACACTTTATTTTTGTTTATAAACTCTATCAGGTGACAAACATGCATAGACATGTACATGAATGTGGCTGTGTTTTCCAAAGATCATGGAATAAATTAAGCTTGTGAAATGAGGTGCTGCTGTGTGTGGGAAAGGAATGAGATTTAGAAGAAAATATTGTCATTTAGACCCTCAGAAATCTCACAAACTTGGCATTATAGCATATGCCTGAAATCCTGCCAGTCTGGAGGCTCAGGCAGAACAATCCCCAGTTCAAGCCCAGCCTAGGCAACTTAGTTAGGAAGACCCTGTCTTAAAACTTACAAAAAAAAGGAAAACGACTGGGAATGTAGCTCAGTGTGAAGGCTCTAGGTACAGTTCCTAGCGATACAACAGTCCTTCAACCAATCTTATTTCTTTCTCTTCCAGATCCGACGTATCCTGAAGGGAAAGTCCGTTCAGCAGAGAGCAGCACCGTATTAGCTCTAATTTGGAGCCTGTTTGGCAACACTCACTGTCAGTTAGGCAGTCCTCATGTATCTGTACATAGACCATTTGCCTTGTACTGGCAAATGTAAGTTGTTTCTATGAAACAAACATATTTAGTTCACTATTATATAGTGGGTTATATTAAAGAAAAGAAAAATGTCTCATTTCTTTTGGCAGATTTGCATATTTCATACCCAGGTATTTGGGATCTAGACATTTGAATTTGATATGAGTAGTAAAATCCTTAAATTAACAGTAGTGTTTGGGTAGGAAAAGACTTTGATTTGTGGTGTAAGGCATTGCTCATGGAGCTGTTGCCAGTTGTAAAGCAGAGGAATTGTGAATGTTTCTTTAAGAAAAATGAAACCATTTGAAAGGGAAAAAAATGAATCTGGATATATGGTTTAGGCTTCTTTTGGCCTGATGCAGTACCCACCAGTTACTAGCACTGACAAGTTTCTAGTCATTGGACTGGATGAAAGGCATCTGTGGTTAGGATTTGACCTTTGTAAACTGTATAAAGTATTACTTTTGTTTTTTAAAAATATTGTACATATGTGGTCAGTAACATGGACATTGAAATGTGTAAAGCAATAAGTAGAAACGAGTAAGTAATTGTCGCTAATTTTTAAAATTGTACACATTTAAAGGAAGTATTATTATGTAATCACCCAACTAAAATCTTGTAGATAAGCCAAATGGGGACGTGGTCCCTAGTTAGCTGAAAGAACTGCTGGTATGTTTGAATTGTAAATATGCTTCTCGTGGGTTGAGATAAGACACACATCAGTTGTAGGTTATTCCATGCTTTTGAAGCAGACTTCTATGACTTGCTTACCTTTTAGGAATTGTAAGTTCTTTTGAAATTTTGTTCTTTATCTTTATATTGAACCAGATCTTTCTATTTTCTGTTGTCAATTAATGGTATTTCATGATGTTTATGTTAACATTTAAAAGTGTTTTATTTTTAAAATGTTAATTCTATTAACATTGTTTCGCTTTACCTCTGGTATGGCCCAAGGAATATATTTGGCTTTTATTGCACACTAATTGTTTGTAATAAATATGATTAATTAAAAATCTTTTTTAAAAATGATAAGTCTTATAAGTGATTATAGTGATTAACTTACCATATTTGTAGCTAAGTAGTTTTTAAAAAGATAAAGATACCTTCTGGATTGATCACATTCTTCATCCCAACCTAGGATGTGAGGTGGACAAAAGTTTGACATAGTTGTTTGGTATGTGGGAATATGAGAGATGAAAAACAGTTCAGTCACAGTGAAAAACTCATGGTTAGTTTTAAATCTTACTACACAAATTTTTCATAAAGATAGGCATTTTTTTGTGCCTTATTTTTATTTCTGTAGATAGAAAAATTACTATTAGTGGCAAATACTTTTAAATTGCTTAATATATATATTTTTGTTATGTGTTTGCTATGCATAATGAATACACTCATGAGTTTGTACTTAATGTATATATATTTTTAATTTTATTTAAAAGGAAAAAGAGAAAAAACAGAACAAAACAGTGTAAGTGTATAAGTAATACAGAACTACAAAAAAAAAAAAATACAGTAAGAAGTCACCAGTTAATAGATTACATATTATCATCTTAGAGATAGTGGTTCAAGACACAGGATCAAAGCGTACAAAGTGGACATTCAAACAGACTGCAAACAGTTGTGTTCAATGATCCAATCAAAAACATTAATATGGTCATCTATTTAACACACCTAAACACACTTGCTGTTGTGTCGTTTACAGCACTTTTTTTTTTCCTCTATTACAACAAAATTTACATATTTTGGGTTTTATTACTCCCATAGTTCTTAATACTTTTTTTTTTTGGAAGAGAATAAAATCAAATATGACAAAACAAAGCTGTCAGTCAAAAACAAGGATAGACGTAGCACATGATGTAAAAACAGAGTATAAGGTTATCAACAATAGTTACCATAATGCCTCTTGCTTCCTTAAGAAGAATTGTCTACCTCATTAGGTATTATAAAGTTGAACAAAACAGTAGAGAACAAGACCAATAAAACCTAAACATTGTAAACATTACAGGACTTCAAAAGAGAATAATAGTCAAACCAGAATGGGCATCATAGTGAATCTTACTGCCTTCAAAGTAGTTGCCTCTACCTTCAAACTTGATGCTATCATACAGAACGCAACAGAGTCTAATCAGTCAAAACAAGATAGTGGGAGTATTATAGGGCTTCAAGTTAATAGGAAATCAAAAAAGTTACTATAATATATCCTAATTTTTTGATTTATTCCCCCTAGTTAAAAAAGTAATAATTTTTTTTAATAAGGGAGAGATTGAGATAAAAGACACAACAACATAACAATACAGGTTCACCACCAAATAACCCAACTTAGTTACCATAGCTTGTATTTCCTTGAAATATTTGAATATAACTTCGTATACTATAGCATCAAACATATCAAGACAGTGTAAAGCAATTCAAGAGGATGAAAGCATTGTAGAGTATTTAGAACCAGTTAACAGAAAACAAACAATGGTTTATATATTATCCCTTTGCCTATAACAATTTTCGTTTATACTATCACATAATAAAATCCAGCAAGATAAAACCAATGGAGACAGAAGAGCCATAGTTTGGTGGGGCTTCAAAACAAGATGGTATTAAATCAGCACTAGCTATTATGATGTCTTGTTTTCTTCAAAATAGCTGTTCATTTCATTACAGGCAATAATACCGAGCAGCCCAGAATAAAGTCATTCCAATTAATAAGTGAAAACTTTATAAGGCTTAAAGGCCACATAATGGGGAATCATGATTACCACATACTTTTATATATTTGAATCATTTCCTACACTAGGGAAACTATTCGGTATTCACACATGCGAGTTTGATTTATTTAACTTATGAGTATGGTCTCAAGCTGGGCCCATTTATTGATAAATATCTCAATGTGATCCTTCTTTATAGCTGAGTAGTACTCCATTGTATAGAAATATCACAACTTTTTTTATCCATTCCTCAGTTGATGGACACTTGGGTTGTTTCCAAGATCTGGCAATTACAAATTGTGCTGCTATAGACATAGGTGCACATATATCACTGTGGTATGATGCTTTCAGTTCTTCTGGGAATATGCCTAGAAGTGGAATAGCTGGAACAAATGGGACTTCCAACCCCAGCTTTTTGAGAAATCTCCAGACTGACCTCTACAAAGGCTGCACCAGTCTACACTCCCACCAACAGTGTAGGAGAGTTCCTTTTTCCCCACAGCCTCTCCAGCATTTGTTGTTGTTGGTTTTCTTGATCCTGGCCATTCTTTCAGGAGTGAGATGGAATCTCAGTGTGGTTTTAATTTGCATTTCCCTAATGACCAATGATGCTGAACATTTTTTCATGTGTTTATTTGCCATTTGTATTTTTTCATCTGAGAAGTGTGTATTCATCTCAGATGCCCATTTTTGGATTGGATCTTTGAATTTTGGGGGTCTGAATTTTTTAATTTATTTATATGTTTTAGACAAAAGTCTCTTGTCTGAGGGGGAGTTCACTAAGATCTTTTCCCAGTTTGTGGGTTTTCTTTTCACTATGCTGGAGATTTTTTTTGACATGCAGAAACTTTTTAATAAGAGGTGGTCCCAGTTATTGATTCTGGGAAGTATTTCCCGTGCAGTTTGAGTCCTGTTCATGAATTCTCTACCTACCCCTATGTCTTCAAGGTTTCTACCTAATTTGTCTTCAAATAGATTTAGTGTTTCTGTTTCAATATTCAGATCTTTGACCCATTTAGATTTTAATTTAGTACATGGTGATAGGCATGGGTCTAGTTTTAGTTTTCGGCAAATGGAGAGCCAGTTTTTCCAACACCATTTATTAAAGAGACTGTCGTTCTTCCAGTGAACCTGCTTGGCTCCTTTATCAAAGATAAGGTGGTTGAGTGTGTTTGTAGTTGTGGTTGTATCTTCTAATCTATTCTATTGATCTTTGGCTCTGTTTTGATTCCAGTACCTTGTTGATTTTACTATGGTTGGTTTGTAGTGTAACTTCAAGTCAGGGATTGTGATGCCTCCTGCCTTACCTTTGCTGCTTAGAATTGCCTTTGCTATTCTAGGTCTCTTCTGGTTCCAGATGAATTTTAAGAGTGATTTCTCTAGATCTATAAGGTATGTTGATAGTATTTTTTATTGGGATTGCATTGAATCTGTATAACAGTTTTGGGGGAATGGCCATTTTCACAACGTTTGTTCTTCCTATCCATGAGCATGGGATGTCTTTCCATTTTCTGAGATCATCTTCAATTTCTTTTTTCATTGTATTATAATTTTCCCTGTATAGGTCTTTCACTTCTTTTGTAAGAGTAATTCCTAAATATTTCATTTTTTTTCTTGCTAGTGTAAAGAGTGTGGCTTCTCTTATTTATCTCTCTGTGTTTTTGTTGTTACTGTATAGGAATGCTATTGATTTCTGAGTATTGATTTTGTATCCAGCTACATTACTGAATTTATTTATTATATCTAAGAGTCTTTCAATGGAGTTTAGGAGGTCTTCTATGTAGAGTATCATGTCATCTGCAAACAATGATAATTTAACTTCTTCTTTTCCTATCTTTACCCCTTTTATTTCTCTCTCTTGTCTAATTGCTCTGGCTAGTACTTCCAGTACTATATTAAATAGGAGTGGTGATAAAGGATATCTTTGTCTTGTGCCTGATTTTAAAGTAAAGGCTTTCAATTTTTGGCCATTTAGTATGATACTGGCTGTTGGTTTGTGGTAGATGACCTTTATTATATTGAGGTAAAGACCATCTATTCCAATTTTTTGTAAAGTTCTTATCATGAATGAATGTTGGACCTTATCGAAGACTTTTTCTGCATCTATAGAAATGATCATGTGATTCTTACTTTTGGCTTTATTGATATGGTGGATTACATTTATTGATTTACGTATGTCGAACCATCCCTGCATGCCTGGGATGAATCCCACTTGGTCATGGTTTATAATCTGCTTGATGATTTGCTGTATCCTATTTGCCAATATTTTATTGAGGATTTTTGCATCTGTGTTCATTAGGGAGATTGGTCTATAGTTCTCTTTTTTAGTTGGGTCTTTCTCAGGTTTTGGTACTAGAGTAATATTTGCTTTCAGGAATGACTCAGGAAGGATTACTTCCCTTTCAATTTCATTGAATAGTTTGAGGAGTGTCGGCATTAGGTCTTCTTTGTATTTCTTGTAGAATTCTGCAGTGAATCCATCTGGGCCTGGGCTCTTCTTTGTAGGTAAGGACTTAATTACATTTTCAATTTCATTAATAGAGATTGGGTTATTCAGCAGTTTTATATCCTTTTGATCTAGCTTTGGTACTTCATATGTTTCTAGGAATCTGTGTATTTTGTCTGTGTTATCAAACCTTTGAGAGTAGAGGTTTTTGAAATAGGTGTTGATGATCTTCTGTATTTCTATAGAGTCTGTAGTGCTTTCACCTTTTTCATTTCTTTTTTTCCTTTTTTTTTTTTTTCTTTTTTCCAGTACCAGGGATCGAACTCACGACCGTCTGCTTGCAAGGCAGGTGCTTATGCCGCTGAGCTAAATCCCCAGCCCCCTCACCTTTTTCATTTCTTATTGCATGAATTTGAGCTTTTTCTTCCCTTTTTAAAAATAAGGTTGGCTAGGGGCTTATCGATTTTATTTATTCTTTCAAGGAACCAACTTTTTGATTCATTGATTCTTTGGATTGTTTTCTTAGTCTCTATTGTGTTGATTTCTGCTCTGATTTTTATAATTTCCTCTCTTCCTTTGCCTTTGGGCTTGACTTGCTCTTCTTTTTCTAGCTGTTTGAGGTGTAGCATCAAGTTATTTATTTGTATTCGTTCTGTTTTCCTGATGTGGGAACTCAGTGCAATAAATTTTCCTCTGAGGACGGCTTTCATTGCATCCCACAGATTCCGATAAGTTGTATCTATATTTTCATTTTCTTGTAGGTATTGTTTAATTTCTTCTTTAATTTCCTCTGTGACCCACTGATTACTCAAGAGTGTGTTATTCAGTTTCCATGTGTTTGTGGGAATTTTACAGTATCTTTTATCGTAAATTTCTAATTTCATAGT